TTTTTAGTGTGTCAAAAAGGACACTTTATTCATATCATGTGAGATTTGAACTAGTTTCGGACCTGTTCTGAACTAGTTCTACTAGTCCCTAAAAAGTCCCGGTCCAGACCCGGTCCAAACTAGTTCCCTGTGGACCATTTAACATCCCTAATTCTCTAAGTGCACGGTATATGAAAACCCCCCCTAATATGCACGCCTCTGCTTGGTCCCAACTCATATAACAATTATAAAATTTAATCTTCTTAAGTGCACACCTTCTCTAAGTGCACATTTTGCATTTTTTTCACTATGGTCCCAAGAGGTGTGCACTTAGAGAGGTGTGACTGTATATCTATTCCAGCTTAGAATTAGAAAATTGGCATTAACTCTGTACTGCAAATCCTTTGTAAAACTCACAAGTCACTTGGTTATATAGAAGTAAAAACATAATTAGTATATATAATACGTAACAAAGCAAAAGTCACAGAACCTCATAAATAGCAAACTAAAATATCAAATCTACAAATTTATGAAATACACATGCAAAAATAAATAATTATATATGTAAAATCAGCCACCAGAGTTAGCTTTATTAATATAAAATTCAACTTTTTGATGATAAGTATACTAACCTAACTGTTACAGGGTTAAACAATATAGGGTATAAATAAACACTTGCTTAATTGTTTTTATATTTATTTATTTAAGGTTAAGATAAAATAAATAACAAAATAGAATAAGCGAAGAATATCTTTATTAACTAACTATTTAAAAATTTACTTTTAATTATCAAATTTTATATCAAACTTTATATTTTACTTATAAACTATTACTAATCATTATTGATTATCACATTATTCATACAATTGTTATTATTACTAATTACTATCTCTCTATTAATTTATCTATTGTATTACTTATTTATTACTACATTTTTGATTATCTATTATTATTATCATTAATTACAACATTAACCACAACACATATAACATAAGCTAGAACCCTAATAACTTTGTTCTCGAAGTTTGTTTCATGCCAACAATTATATTGTAATTTCATCTTTGATATTATCAACACCTTATTTTCTCTTATTATTAAATGTTCTTGAAATTACCAAAATTTTTTATAAATACCCAATTAATCAGAATACCACTTAGCTTGATTATCCCTCCTAGATTAAAACCTATTATACTCATGACATGAGTAAGACTACCTATGGTTATCACTCTTTCACAACTATCCACATTGTCTTAAACAAACATTCAGACATTTGTCTAATCTTCATATTAATTACTTTTATTATTTTACAATCAAATTTATATATATCATAATTTATCAGTTTTATCAATACATATTGATATTCTATTGTCTCAGAAGATATTATTTCAGAATTGAATATTTTACTTTCAAATAAATTACTACCACTATTATACATTACATTAGCATGGCTTAAATTATCAAAACTTTGACAACTACATATTAAGTAATCGTTTATTATCTTACCAATTTCATTTTTATAACATTTATCTACAATTTTATATTTAGCTTTATATATTCCATTCTTATAATCCATATTAGCCAATCTTCGATAATCAACTCCAATCCCACTATGGCAATACATCTGAGGCTATATATTTTATTAATAAAACTTGTTTTAATAGCATTTTTGCTATTTTTATAACATAATTCAAGATTATATTGTCTATCTGAGTCATTATCTTTAACACATTTTAAATATCATTTGAATATCTTTTGTTTCTTATTATCAGATTTTTTGTAACAATTAACTACTTTGTGCTTTTCGACTCCTTTTTTATTACAATTATCAATAATATAGGTTTTATCAGTATTACTCAGATCAGCTAATTCTTGATTTCATTCAAATGATTTCTTTTCACTTTTGACACCTTGATAAGTACTTATTCTGGTTGCAACTTCACCCCTATTGCTATCAATCTCAAACACATTATATTCCATTTTAATTCCGATTCCATGATCATAACAATAATCAACATTAACATTATCGTTAGGCTTTCCTTCAGCAATTCACTTCTTAGATCAGTGTTGTTCACTGGAACGTTCTAGTGGAAATTACTGGAACTGGAAGATCACTGGACTTAACTGGATGGAATTGGA